CTTTTTATTAGTGTTTCAATCTTCCACTGTAACTTATATAATTTGATAGCCCAAGGATAACTAATTAAGGGGGGGTAAATTGGTTTTTAAATTTTTTTCAAAGAATTAATCTAAATTCAAGCAAGTAAAGATTAAATAGATCAATTCAAATAATAAGTGCAAATATGAAAATGATAAGTAAAAGGGAGAGATGCTGTAAACGATGTAATTGTGAAAGTTCGGTCTAAAGCAATGACCTACGTCCTTCATTAGCAAGCTCTCGAGCACGAGCAAGTTTTTTTTCATTATGTTGATTGACTTATGGTGCAATCAAACACTTTACAACGCTTCAGGTCACTTACAAACAATGATCAACAATCTTTATACAATGTTGAGTTTTACGAGACCTCAACACGACTCACTTGAGCTTTAACGTGATCACAATATGACTCACACTATTGAGCTTTACGAGATCTCAGTATGACTTACACGGTGACTTACAACAAAGAACATCGATTTTTTTACAATGTTGATCTTTACAGGACTTCAACACGACCCAAACTTTATCAAAGTGATTTTACGATATAATTCCTATTTTGATAAATAATCCAAATAAGTTAAGTACTAAGAGAGACTAACACTTCAATGAATACCAATAAATGATAGTTCAAGTGTTAGATGAAAAACTTCGATGTATATAATAATTAGAAATTTAATACAATCAATCAAAAATTTTCATATATATATATATATATATANTTGTGGGATCATTTTCCCACGAGAGGTAATGAGAAGAATTATAGAATGGATTGCTACCTATGCCTAGATCGCGGATAAATGGAAATTTTATTGATAAGACCTTTTCAATTGTAGCCAATATCTTATTACGAATAATTCCGACAACTTCAGGAGAAAAAGAGGCATTTACCTATTACAGAGATGGTGTGATTTGATTCTTTTTTTTTTTTTTTCTCCCAGTCTTACGAGAAAGACAAATGATTCAAGAAATTTTTTGAAATAAATCTACGCTTGTTGAAATTGAAGTTTGGAAATAGAATAATTCCTTCTGTCGTGTATCCTCGATTAATGCAACCTCAGATGCTATGTTTGAATTTTGATTCTAATATAGAGCGAAATGTTATACCTAGAGGTTTTTTATTATGGGTCAATCTTACTATATGAAATAATAAATGAAATGAATGCAAAAATAAGTTTAAAAGAAATCTCTCAAAAGATATATCACTTTGATGCTCTTGAAAAATGTTGTATTAAATGTAAGAAGTAGATGTATTTATAGAGTTTAAAAAGTTAAAAAAATTTGGGAGTTCGGATGACTCGTTCGGTTAATCGCTTCTTGTTCGAATGACCAATATAACCGTTTGTACAATAAAAATCAGAGATCAGAATAGGTCAAATTTTGTATCGTCGAAAACTTTCGGTCGAACGGCTCTTTTATCCGGTTGACTACCTCTTTCGGCCGATCGATCGCCTGGCAATACGGTCTTTTTACGTTTTGGCCCCATTTGTTTCGATTCGAAGGTTTTGAAAAGTATGGACTTTTGGAAAGTATTTTTAACTAATTTTTCAAGATAAAAAACTGTTATTCAAGTCCTAATATCATATTTAAAAGTCATTTCTACATTTGATCAAATCATTGCATTTGAATGACTTTTAATGCACAAAATTATTTTAATGTATAGAAAAATTATGAGGTTAAGCATTCATTACCAAATATCAAAATGATAGTACTTTTACACTTTATCTAAGAAAATTAAATCCTTGATCTTACTCCGAAGTTTAGCTCTTAAGTTCTTGAATGTGTGACTTCGATCTTGACTTCCTTCATGAGTCAGATTTGTGATGATAGTGTTTGATCTTTTGACGACCATCGATCAATTTTTCATCCCATGCTTTTAAAAACTATAATAATTTGAATTCAACTTGTTAGTAAATAAAATTAGCTTGTTTGTTATAATCAAAACTTTAAGGATATAATCAACCAAAGGTCAACACAATCCTTCGTGGTATACCCATAATCCTAGTGGTAGTCACAATATTTTCTTTTATCCCTGGTTTCAAGGGAGATTGTAACATCGGGGGCCACTTAAGCTCCTTAATATCCTTGATCTCCATCAGTATGTTGGTCCCATAGGTATTCAGATGAGTAAATGGTGTAGGTGGTTTTTCCTGTCTCTGTTTATCTCGAGCATGATCTTGTCATGGATTTGAATCACGTAGCCTCTTATATTTTGGCTTCTCATGGGTTGACTAGTTTTCATTGTTTCCTCCGTGTAGATGTATTTTTCTCCTCGAGTGAGGAGCTCAATCATTGATTTTGGCGGGGTAGAGACATCTTGAAGGCTTCACTCCTTATTGCACATGTTAAAGTCGAGACAGTTGCTGTAATGTGTAGGACGGGTGTCTGTAGTCTTTCTTTATTGAACCTTGTTATAAAGTTTCGTAGGGTCTCATTCAGCCCTTGGCGGAGTGCTTGAGGGATGCGGCAGTCTTCCTGATGTGCTTACTACTTACGAAGAAAGTAGAGAATTTATTGGCTAGGTCCGAGAAAGAGGCTATAGAATTGGGCTCTAATGTGGCGAACCAATCATTGGTGGCATTAGTCAAAGGTTGAGGGAAGGCCTTACAAATCACTGGGTCTGGCGTGACCAGTAAGTTCATGACATCCGTATTGATTCCGTCTGGAAGTGGATAGGAGAGTACCTTCGGTGTAAATGGAGTGTTAGGGGTAAATCCTGTTGTCCCCTAGGTATTCTATAATAAACTAGCTATAATCGATTCTGTATGATCCAGGCGAATTCGCTTGAGTCCATAGTAACCAATTTCTAGGCCGAGGCCACAGAGGTACGCCTGAGGCACCAGATCCACCATTATCATGGGTGTCATGAGACCCGAGCTCAAGCATCAGCTATGAAACCTCCTGGTGGTGTCGGTGCCGGATGAGAATTTCTTTGACTTAGTAATTTAGTGAGTGTGACAACTTGTTGATGAAGTTCTTTGAATGCTCATGCGGCAATCACTGCTGCTTGGGAAGCTGGTATTTCAGATGATTCTTCTTGGTAAATTGGGGAATCCACAATAGGAGGTGGGTTTGGAGCGGATGAGCTTGCTGGAGTAAGACCTGAAAGCGTATTAACCATGGCTTTTGGTAGCATTTACCAAAAATCATACGTATTGATTTTTCGAGGTTGAGGATTTTTTTTCCGAGATTGAGGATTGAGAATGAGCACTAACAAAATCTTCTAGTACCCGAAACAAAGGCATCAGGTGTGTCCTCGTCGCTCCTCCGATGCTTAAGTTAGAGAGAGAATTTATGTGAAAGACTATATGCTGAAAATTATGTAAAAGCGTGCCTGGATAATGAATAGAAGCTTTGTATTCATAGATGTAGGTAGTGGACTAATAATAGGATTGGATTAGTTGAATATCCTTGTCCTTAAGAGTCCTTTCTTTTGATGGGTGTTGGGTTTGCACTACAATTGTGGGTCTAATTATGATACTATTATAACATTTATTGAGATAGAGTCCTCCTAGATATATGAGTCTTAGCTTGAGATTTTGGAAATGTTTAGAATCCTTGGAATGTAGGATCCATTTTTGTTTAAGCATGAAGATCTTTGAGCTTAGTAAAGGAAAGTGCTCGAGGACGCCACATCTTTTGAAGTCAAAGTATCCCGAGGACTTACCCTCGAGGATGGTCATTACCAAACATCATAAAAAGTATGAAGCAAGCCCTCGAGGTATCTCAAGGACAATTTCAAACTCGAGGAATCCCGTCTTATATCAGGGAATATTGTTCTTGGGATTCTAATCCTCGAATTATAATAATTATGACCATATCAGACACTATTCAATTTCGATGTACAAGATGTTTACTTATTTTTTTATTTTAATGTTGTCCAACGTGATACATTCTTAAGTAGAGGTGTAAACTTGAATTTTGGTTGTCCAAATTCGAGCTACAATGTAGATTGACCTATCATTTCAAGCAATTTGTATTACGCTAGAGTAACTTGACCGCATGTGTCTTGGCCATTTCTAAAAAAATTCAAATGTGTTTGGCCCTCTAATAATAATAATAATATTATTTTATTTATAAGCAAGATTATTTGTTTACAAAGAATTGGACACACCATCTAATCTTGGGAATCTAAACTTCACATACACAAGAATAAATTTGTTTATCAATGAATTAATTATAATTAATTATTCGTATGACCCACCTTTGATGGTTTGTTATACTTTTAATCAACCTTTTTATTTGTAAAGTTAATTAAGTGGTTAAAAGTGTCGAATACATTACAGCTGTTGAATAAAACCTCCTAAAAATTTGAAGACGGACTTATCCATTTGTTCACTATATGATTTTTCTATTGGTACCTATGGATGTTATTGGGGGTAACAATTTTAACCACGTTCATTGAGTCACTCGGTCTAATATCATAAAACGTTTATTCTTTCCACTTTGGATACCAATTAATTTTCAGATGAAATAAGTTAAATTCCGATCCTATCGAACTTGTTATACTTTTTAACTACCAATTTTTCAGTTTATTTCCAAGGAAGAATTAATAAATAGTAATTTATCTTCTACACCAATAAAATATTTCCTTAATTGACTAGTTTTCATTTGATCCATATAATTAAGAACCTACCAAACTTAATGGCCGTCCTTCGACATCGGATTTGTACAAATAAAGGCTAATATGAAGGAGCAAAAAGTTGCTTCAACAATCCCCATTTGCCTATAGTTTTCAACCATCTATTGGAGCACTTTTGAAGCTTCAACCCAATTCTTGCCTTCAAAAATTACACCAAAAGTCTCAACTGCCAAATAACAGACATGAATAAAGAACATAGTAATAGATTCAATTTGGAGAAACCAAATTTCAGCCTGTGTATGGGGAGGGTAGACAGAACCTGGTCAGGGAATTTGAAACCAAGCTCCAGTTATGAGAAAATAAGAAGTGGATCCAAACTCGGTCCTACAAACAATTCCACGAATGGCAGGGGACCCACGCCTTTTGACACCGGGGTTGCCACGCCGAGGCTGGCCAGGAGCAGTGGGATATGAAGAGATTGGAGCTTCGAGGATGTCAGAAGAACGGTTCAAGGATAGTGGGAGATTAGACGATGTTTTAGATTATTGTGTCTTTATTAATGCATTTCTCCTGTATTTGGAGACTAATAAATAGAGGCAAAAGAATAGAGGGTTTGACTGCGCAATTGATGAGTAATCCGGTAGTAGAATAGAGGCAAAATAATTTTTTGATGTGGCATTCAAGGGGGAAGGTTGGTTTTTGAATCCTAAATGGCAGTTTCGTTGTTGGTTGACCAGTGGCGGAGGATTCCTCAAAGGGGTGGTGTAAATTGTTAAAACGAGTGCCAGAGAGTCATCTATATGAAATATGTAGCAGTAATTTGATTGGAACACATAACACAATCATAATCTCGAGTTGGAAATGGATATTGAATGGTTTATTAACAGCAAATAACCTTTCTTTAGAGACATTAACTAATAATACATATGTCAATTAAATAGTAACAGAGTATTGATTATGCTTGAAACATGGATAATCAAGCACCCTATCGTGGAATGGGCAGGTATTGGTAGCTAGGCAATGGCAAGAGAGTAAAATTTGTTATATTAGTAACATCTTTATACCCTCTCATCTTATATATATATATATACAGAAAATGTGCCAACTCATCGGTGTTTAGGATAAGATGAGCACGGTGCTCATTAGATCATTTCTGTATATATATATATACTAGGTGCAAGCAACGTGCAATGCGCGTTTGCCTAATTTATATTTAATAGTTGTTTAAGAATTAATTTGTTATTAATAAAGATGTAATTTTTTTGGTTAATTAAATAATTAATGATGTAATGTTTATGTGATTGATAAATAATTAGATGTGTGATTTTGATGTTGTAATGTTAGTTGGTGAGATCGAAGAAAATAAGTAAAAGTTGACAAATTTGGAGAAATGACTAAATTGTAAGGGGACTAAAATATAAATACTTAAAAGTTGTGCCGAACCTCACGACGAAGATTTGAGAGTGCTCGGAGTCAATTGGATAAAGGAAGACGTCAATGGAATCAAATTTAGTCAAAAAATGATCACAAATCAATTTCCAACCGAAAAGTTATGCTCCGATATTTTTGTCTCATATTGAGACCTATTTTTGGCATAGAACGTGATCTAATTGGAGAATGATGTCTGAATCAAAGTTGTAGCCAGATGAGTTAGCTTTCCAACGCATTTTGAATCGCCTCAATCGGATATCAGAATACAAAGTTATGATAAGAACACTGAAAGAAGGTGCAGCTAGCTGTTTAAAACAAGAAATTCCGTTACATAATCCGATAAAATAACAAATTCCGTTAGTTTTTCCGTTAAAAACAAGAAATTCCGTTACATAGCCACTTTTAATATATAGAAGATATATATATATATATAAAGCAAGTTCTACACATTAAAGGCTAGCTTATCAAAATCACCAAACTATGAAGATATTGATAATCTTCTCGTTTTTTGTTAAATTTGATTCAAACTCTTTTCTTGTGAAAGATCTACTTTCGAATAAGGTCCTTCCAAGCAACCCCAAAGCCATTCTCACTCTTCTACTGCAAATCTTACCTACAAAGGGATTGGTTCATTTTTACTTAGCATCTCGTCTTTGTTTTGTATATTGATAAAATGTCAGAATGGTCTAATATCAAGCCAATTTTGAGGAAGAGGCACAGGTTGAGGTCTTACATAACCGTATCATTGATCCACGCACACTTTGCTCAAAAATTAGATTTGGTAGTCTTGACGGTTCTATTTTATCACGTTTATGCTATGTAAGATATCCGCATAAGAGTTTTGAACCTACAAAGTGGAGAGATAGCAACCAAATCTGAAAATTATAGTACTAGCCACCCAAAATGTGTTCAAGTATTTGTATTCCATAGAGGGATTCATAACTTGTGTTTATAGATGAGATTAACTCTCAATTATAGGAGGAAATCAAAGGAAATTTATTCTTATCCAAAGTAATCAATATCTTAGCATAGAAACCTTAATAATTAATCAATACCTGGTTGGTAAACAACAGTTGTCTGAAAATATGTAGTTAAGATGTAATAAAGACACGAAGAACAAAGGATGTTAAAACTCACAAATCAATGAGGAAATAAGAAGAAAAAGGTTGTAAGTCAATGCACAAAGATGCTACAAATAGATACGGTTTACCAGATCTTTTTTTTTCCCCTTTATATAATTTTGTATTTTCTTATATGGAACATATAACCAAATCAAAAGGATATGGTTTTGATCCGGACAGTGAATCCTGTTTGACACTGTCTTGAGGCCTGCCTATTTATTTATAATCCCGGCCCTCTTCTTTTCTCCGTCCCACTCCTCTCCTCTCCTTTGCCCTTGGATGGCCAGAATGTTGAGACTTTCCCTCAATGCTTATCGTAGTTACAAATTTTATTTTGGCGCTCTGATAAAAAATGATTCTTGGAAATTGGAATTTTGATTTTGTTAGGCAACATGCTGCAAAGAGAGAGTTGTATTGGTGGCAGTTTATGTAGCGAGGCCGAGGAGGAGGTTGCCCTCGAGTAATTACCACAACCAGCAGCACTTCCCCCAGGCTAATTGTGCTGCTGGTGGTAGAAGGTACAATATGAGAGCTGAGCTGCTCGACTATGCTAGAGACCTGAGAACATCTGCACGACCAGGGGGATCCTCCCCAGTACATTTGAGTTCACAAATCATACAACCACGAGCAGTTCAGATTACTCCGGCTCAAAGAAAGATAAGAAAAACAACTGTTCCAACTTGTTTGGGAAACTGGAAATTGTTATTACCGAGATTTCTCACCTCGATACCAGCCTCAAAAACATTGAAAATGAAGAAGAAAAACAAGAACAAAACAGCATATCCACAATTACTAAGACGACAACTGTGATGAAGCACCTACAGGTAACTTGCAGATCCCCTCAAAGCGTCCTCTATTATAAGCTGGATCGTCTAATTCCATATTACATACGAGTGATTTTCCTTTTTCAGATACAGAAAAAGAAGAACTTTTTTTCTCAAAATTGTTAGCAACACTACGGGATCATTGCTAGAAAAAACATTCAGACGATACAAATCCGTCTAGTTATTCAAGAACTCATATATATGCAGCTTTCTCTTAAATCTAACTTGTACAAGAACATATTGCTTGAACAAGATTATGATAACTATTGTTGAGATAATTCATATGCCTGCAAATCAAATACATTACAAAAGACTAATAGCACAGAATTAAGAACTTAACCTTTGCAGAAACGACATCAAAATCCTAATGTGCTGCTTACATAGACTGCTATAGGAACTCTAACTACATGATTGTTGTTTCCCTCAAACACCATCTCGCCAAATGTGTAAGCATTAGTTGTCTGAGTTGCGACCAAGAAAAGTGTAATGTGCCTCGAAGCATTAACGCTGATCTTAAAAGATTGAGGTGTCACAGTTATGTTCACTCCAAAAGGCTCTCTCACAAGCACTGTGTACTTCTCAACTAACTCACCTACATTAGTCACCCTTCTAGTAACTTTCCTTGATCCCACCAAATTCGAAACTGTCACACTTGCTGTGTTCAAATCCGAACACCACTCCGTTCTCTTAGATGGGCACCCGACTCCCACTGCTCGTCTCACTGACATGTCGTCTACCCCAGGAACTGTGCATAAGAATTGTACATAGTGTTTGAATTGAATGTCGAATATGAGTCCTGGATCAATTGCTTTAGAAGGATTGACGGAACCTGCTCCAAAGTCAAATGGAGTGGCAGGAGATAACTTGTTTTTCTGTTGGGCTAGAATCGGAGCACCAGAAGTAGCTGTGATATTGGCCGTTGTCATCATTGCTGAAGTGATGGCAGCTGGACTCCAGTCGGGGTGTTTTTGCTTTATCAATGCAGCAATACCGGCTATGTGCGGTGTAGCCATGCTAGTTCCAGACAATAACGCGAAACTTTGCCCTGGAAGGAGAAGATATTTAGTAAAAACAAAAATTCAGAACTCCAATTTATTAAGATTATAGAAAGTGAATCAGATTACAGCTATAGCAATTTATTTCATGAAAAGAAAGAAAAACTCGGGTGCATTTTTTTAAACTTAAAGGCTGCTGTAATGCTAAATGTCATTTTCGATCTGTCACCTCATCGGGCCTTAGTTCTGGTGCTTTATAGTTAGCACAAAAAAAAATTGAACTTTTGGCCAAATAAAGCTCATGATATTTGATGTGTTATGTTCTTTATACAGGACATTTGATGGATCATTTTGTATGAGATAATACGTTCTGGAAATGATCCGAGTCGAAATATTTTCACCTACCTTTGATGTATTGATCTCCTTCACTATTAGGACTCCAGGCAGCCCATATTGAGGAGCCTGGAGCCATGATGGTAGGTTTGAGGACATCAGCAGTTTCTAAAAGTGCATTGTTAACATCGGGACCTCTTGATGAGTATGATGCCACGACTGGAGCCTGCCCGGTATAAATGGCCTCCCTGCCATCTAAAATCCTTGCTGTTGCTCGAAAACCTATAGCAATTCCACTTCTGCTCCTTATTGTATTCGAATTGTAATATTCCCACAGAGCCTGTATAAAAAAAAAAAAATTATCTTGACAATTTTAAAGAAAATAATTTTCTAAACTAGTTTTATATGTCAAGAGTGATACCGAAGATGATTCCATATTGTTAAGAATGACTCCAGGGACTTGTAAGGGTACAGTGGCACCCTTAATCTTCTCAGAACCAATGTCGGGATCCATGGTGAGTATAAAACCAGCTGCCCCAATTTTACTTATAGTGTCTGCAACTGTAGCAATAGTTGCTGCCTCAGATTCAAAGTCAAACGTATACGTGCAGATGATTAGTCTCCCACGAACTAAGGTCAGAATGAATGCGTCTGAATTCTGGCAGCTCTCTACGAGACCTGCTGTAATGTTCCTTTGACAAACATCAGCAGCAGCAGCGACCGGGAAGAAAACTCCTCCAACCGTTGGAGCTTCAATATATGGCAGAATCGGTATTTTCAGAACATATAATAAGTAATTTCTGAATTAAAACTGGTAAGTAAACTTACGTGCAAGTCCTGTTCCAATTAAGCTTTGGCCATCCCCCAGTCTGATTGAATTATTGTATTTCCGATCAGTTATCGAGGCCGCAACACTGGTTATCCATGGACTAAAAGAAAGGATTGAACTAGAAGAAGGCCCTCCATTTCCAGCAGCTTGAACAACCAGAACACCTGCTTTTGTAGCAAACAAAAGTTCCAGTTCCAGCACGTTTAAGAATGCAGAAGGGCCAGAAGGCACGCTTGCTGGCCCTATAGAAAGACTTAATACATCAACCCCATCTTCTACTGCCTTCACATAAACAAAAAACTTTAGATAAGTTAATTCACTCTCTTTTCCCTAAGAAACTACAGATCTAATTTTGTACAACAGAATAAAGTCAAGACCTGATCAACTGCAGCCACAACGTCAGACATGTAACCACCGAAAGGATAAAGAGCTTTATACACAGCAATCCTGCACTGCCAAGATAGTCTATAACGATACATTGAGTTATGCAGTTTTGATTGTGATCGAACTTGAAGATATGAAAAAATGTTAGTATAATGTATCTAAAATGACTTTACTAATTTAGGAAAGATAAGAAAGCAATCTGTTTATTACTGCGCTCCTGGTGCCATGCCGCTTGCAAATCCATAGTTGAAGTTATTAGCTATCACCGGGATACCGTGGTTTCCAGCTGCTGTCGAGGCTGTATGACTGTTAAATTACCCCAACTTCAGTGAATTAACACTCCAAAATGGTACATATTATTCCTAATTAAAAATCCTTAGGAGTATTTTACGAGAATTTTCTGATTACATGATACTTGCCTTCCATGACCATCAGCATCGAAGGGAGAAGCAAAGTCACGAGTTGAATTAAATTCTCCTGCAGCAATTGCAGCTCTTGCAAAATACTGTGCTCCAACTAATTTGCAACTGCACGCTGATGGTGGGAATTGCTCACCAGCCGAACATTTCCCTTTGAACTTAGTTTTGGTAAATAAACACGCAGGGCCATTTAAACCTTCATTCGTAAAGCTTGGATGGAAAGGATTGATTCCTGTGTCTATGAGGCCGATAACCACTCCTTCGCCTGCAAGCATAGATCCACCTAATGATGGCCAAACACCAGTAGTAATTCCTAACAGTTCAGGCGTATGTGTTGTAAGTTTCTGCAATTTTGTATCTTCGTGGATCAATCTAACTTTTTCCGCGCTCTCCAGCACGTGAAGCACCTGCTGAAAACTAAGTGGTTAATGTTTATCTGTCTGAAACAGAAACTCGATAAAATTTTACCTTCTTGTCCGTAGAGTAAATCGCAAAGCCATTCAACAAATGAGTGAAGCTATACAGCTTGATGTATGACCCTTTCTCTAGAAGCGAGTCTAGGAAAATATCGTGCTCTCTCGTCATTCTCTCCTTGTAGATCGCAATATTTTCATCATTCCTAACCAAAGCAACGAATTAGTCAGCAATTGAAGGAATTATTATTAGAAAAGAAAAAAAAATCATAACTAAGCACATATGACCTTAGTGACATCATGACAACAGGGTCATCCTCCATCAAAACCACAAAGATCTTTGCTTCTGCGGAGTCGAGCTTCCATGTTGAGATGAAAGAAACAAGAAGAATGAATACGAGCTCAGGTTTCATGGACGAATAATAAAAGTGAAAAATTAAAGGAAGCAATTTGTGGGTCGAAAGAGGCAGCTGATATAACACCAGAAGAAGCATGTCTTTTGCATTTTCAAACCACCCCACTCCATGCATTAGGTGTCAAACGGTATCGACAATATAGAGCCAGTGTGGGTGTTCAAATAAAAGATAACTTCTCGTTAACCATTTTGTGCTTATAAGCTCTTTTAAAATAGGCTGATCCTTTCACATGAAATAAAAATGCTATTTAATTAAGGTTACTAAAATTAAGTCCCAAATTAAATCTCTTTAAAGAGCATTTTGTTCTGAATCACTGAACATTAATCTTTTTTCTTTTTATTTTTTATGGTCAAGGTTTCCTGGTACTTATTGTTAGATTCTAGATGCTTCTAGATTTCTCTCGAAATGCAGATTATCAATGTGATTCAATTCTGTTAAGTAGTTAGTTAGATTGTTAGTTAGTTTTGGCGCCAATTTTCCTGGCTATTTATATTGTTGCTTTACATCTTTTCTCCTTAGTTAAATAGAATTTAATTCTTTTCTCCTCCATTTATCTCGAATCTGATATGGTATCAGAGCAACAGGTTCATTCGTTACATTTTTATCATAAACACAATTAAATCATTGTTTGATTCGATTCTATCATGGAGACTACAAATCAACCAGAGCCAAGGCAGATTGTAAAGTTTGATGTTGATGATCCTACCATCCCGTTCTTCCTCCATCATTCGGATAGTCCCGGATTGATTTTGGTGTCTCAACAACTCACTGGGGAGAACTATACCTCCTGGAGTCGTGCAATGATTATTGCACTGTCAGTGAAGAATAAAATTGGCTTTGTCAATGGTTCCATATCCAAGCCTGAAGATGGTGAACCAGATCTGATGAACTCGTGGGTTAGAAATAACAACATAGTTATCTCATGGATTTTGAATTCTATTTCTAAAGGCATTTCAGCTAGCGTTATCTATGCAGCCTTTGCAAGTGAAATGTGGAATGATTTGAGAGATAGGTTCCAGTAGAAAAATGGGCCTCGTATCTTTCAATTAAGGAAGGAATTGATAAATTTATCTCAGAATCATGATACAGTCAGCGTATATTTCACTAAGCTCAAGACGATCTGTGAAGGGCCTAAATGAGCACTATCATACGGAATATGTAATGTCCTTTCTTATGGGACTGAACGACTCTTTTTCTCAGGTTAGGGGACATATTTTACTATCTGATTCATTGCCTCCAATCAATAAGATATTTGCATTGATAAATCAAGAGGAAAACCAGAGGAAAATAGCACATATAGATGTTGGAGATAATTCGAATAATGCTGTTGCGTTTGCTTTAAAGACTGATAACAATAGATCAGCTACTGGATCTGTTAACTATGGTACAAATATGAGATATGGAGCTACTGATAACAGCAGATCAATTGTTGGATCTGCCAATTATGGTTATAACATGAGGTATGGACCGGCCAGAAACTTCTGGAAGGACAAGGCGTATTGCACACATTGCAAAATTCATGGGCACTCAGTTGAGAAATGTTACAAAATTCACGGATACCTTCATGGGTTTATGACGAGACCAAGGGATCCTTCTGGGCAAAATAATGTGAATCAAGGCTCTATTTATGCTAATACTCTACTGATGGACTGAAGGAAGATAAGAAACAGCAGCATTCAGTTGTTGGCAACTTTGTCCAGAATTTGAATACTAATCAGTACCAGCAGCTAATGGCAATGCTATCTAGTCACTTGGCAGCAGGTACCAGTATGAATCCTATTGATGCACATGACTGCAGCCTTAACTCTTATGTTGCAGGTAAGTGTTACTCTATCTCAGTAGAACCTAATCTATTGTTCAAAGATGTTTGGTTAGTCGATTCAGGAGCTACCAAACATATATGTTGTTCTGTCACAGCATCTACATCATTGAGAGTCATTGAGAATTCGATTGTTACGTTGCCAAACCACACACAAATATCAGTCAAGATGTGTGGTGATGTCAAACTTAGTACAAATATTATGCTGCATGATGTCTTGTTTGTGCCTCAATTCAAGTTCAATTTGATCTCAGTTAGTGCTTTGACACTTGAGTCAAAACTCACCATTAGCTTCTTTGATGATCACTTTGTTATTCAGGACCTCAGATCCAAGAAGATGATTGGCAGAGGTGACCGGGTGCAAGACTTATATGTCCTTGACATTAAGACATTAGATTCTGTTTCAAATACTTGTGTAAACCAAGTATCTATGCATGTTTGGCACAATAGATTAGGCCATCTTTCTTTCAAAAGATTGGACTGGTTGAAAGATCATTTGCCTTATGATGTTAATAAATCTAGTAGGAATTTACCATGTTACATCTGTCCACTTGCTAAACAAAGGAGATTATCTTTTGTATCAAATGATCGTGTTTCTAATCATCATTTTGAACTTATTCATGCTGATATTGGGGTCCATATCAGGTTGCATCACATACGGGTTACATATTTTTCTTAACTTTGGTTGATGATTCCTCTAGATTCACATGGATTTATATGCTAAAGCACAAATCAGATGTAAGCACTGTTGTTCCAAGGTTCTTTAACATGGTGGCAATATAAGTTAATACCAAAATCAAGGCATTAAGATCGGACAATGCCCCTGAACTGGCTCTTATAGACTTCTTAGCAGCAAATGACACTTTACATCAATTCAGTTGTGTAGAGAGGCCTCGGCAGAATTCTGTGGTGGAACGTAAGCATCAGCATCTTCTGAATGTTGCAAGGGCTTTATTCTTTCATTCAAGAGTTCTAATTAAGTTCTGGATTGAGTGCGTGTTAACTGCCACTTTCCTCATAAATCGAACCCCATCTCCTATTTTGAAACATCGAACTCCTTATGAATTACTCTACAACAAGCCTGCAGACTACTCTATCCTTCGAGTCTTTGGCTATTTAGCCTTCTCCTCTACCTTATCTGTTCATAGGAGTAAGTTCCAGCCAAGAGCTAAGCTGTGTGTTTTTCTGGGATATCCCCCAGGGGTTAAAGGCTACAAGCTTCATGATGTAGCCTCCAAGCAAATCTTCTTATCTCGAGATGTGATTTTTCACGAAAATATATTTCCTTTTCATTCAGTCAAAGCACTTGCTCCTCTCATTGATCCCTTCCCTGATCTTGTACTACCAAATCCATCTTTAGCCAGTTCAAGTCTCTCTCATATTCAAGCCACCACTTCAGAACCTACTGATCAAAATTCACCAGTCAACAATCATTCCTCATCTCAATCAAGACCTATACAGTTTTCTGATGATCACACATCACCTCAAATAGGACTTCATGAGTCCCAGCCTATCAATGAACAAATCAACACTGATTCTAATGTTCAATCCATTCCTATCAGCAATGTTAGAAAATCCCATAGAACCATTCATGCCCCGAAATATCTTCGAGATTACCACTGTAATCTGATCTCTCAAACTCTAGAACATTTTCCTCATTCGTCTCATAACATTGCCCACTTCTTGTCATATGATAGGTTGTTACCCACTCATAGACATTTCATACTAAACATCTCTTCTACTCTTGAGCCAAAGTTTTATCATCAATTTGTCAAACTCCGAGAGTGGCGTGATGCCATGAAGTCAGAACTTGATGCTATGGAGCAGAATAAAACTTGGTCAATTGTGCCTTTACCATCTGGAAAATAGTCTGTGGGATGTCGATGGGTGTACAAGACAAAATATAAATCAGATGGCACTATTGAAAGACATAAAGCTTGCCTCGTGGCAAAGGGGTACACTCAACAAGAGGGTCTTGATTATTTCAACACTTTTTCCCCAGTAGCAAAAATTGTAACTGTCAAAGTCCTTCTTACACTTGTAGCTTGTCATAACTGGGTTTTAACTCAGCTTGATGTGAACAACGCGTTCCTAAATGGTGATTTATTTGAGGTGTACATGGACCTTCCTCCTGGGTATGATGTTTAGGACAAATAGGGAAGAAAGGTTTGTAAGTTACATAAATCCATATATGGCCTTAAGCAGGACAGCCGGCAATGGAACTTCAAATTCTCCCAGGCACTTGTTCAGTATGGTTTTCTTTAGTCAAATGCTGATTACCCTCTATTCACCAAAGGCTCAAGTGATAATTTTGTGGCTTTACTGGTATATGTGGATGACATTGTCATCACTGGACCCAATCCGAAGATTATCAACTCTATGAAATCATTCCTACATTCGATTTTTAAATTGAAGGATCTAGGATGCTTGAAGTATTTTTTGGGCATTGAGGTTGCCCGTTCGAAATCAAGAATTGTGATTTCTCAACGTCATTACACCCTGCAGTTGTTAGAGGATACAAGTTATTTGGATTGCAAGCCGGTTGCAACTCCTATAGACCCAAAATTATCCCTTAGTCTTCATACAGGGGATTTGTTATCTGATGCCATATCCTACAGAAGGTTGGTTGTCAAGTTGATTTATTTGACTATTTCTAGGCCGGACATCACTCATGAAGTCCACAAATTAAGTCAGTTCCTGTCTCAACCTCGTCTGCCACATCTCAAGGCTGTACATCATCTCCTGTATTTTTTGAAGACTAGCCCTGGGCAGGGACTATTCTTTCCAGCTTTCTTCTCATCTCCCATCAGTTTAAGGGCTTTCTCTGATGCTGATTGGGGGTCGTGTGTTAACATCAGAAAATCCACCACTAGATTCTGTATATTCCTTGGGGATTCTTTAGTTTCTTGGAAGGCAAAGAGGTAGACCACCATTTCACTTTCGTCTGCTGAGGCAGAATATCGTGCCCTTACTGCTACCGTTAGTGAGCTCCTCTAGTTAGCTCAGTTGTTGAAGGACTTTCAATCATCAGCAAGCACCCCAGATGTGTTTTTCTATGACAATTAGGCCGCCGTTAAAATTGCCAACAATCCTATCTTTTACGAGAGGACTAAACACATCGAGATAGACTGCCACTTCATTCGTGATAAAATTGCTTCAAGGGCTGTCAAGTTGCTCC